TGGAGCCCGGGGGCTGGGGGGCGGGGATCCAGGCTAGACGCTCCGCGACCTCCGCAGTCTAGAAATTCCCCCTGACAGCCTCACGCCTAGACCCCACCCTCTCCCCCTCCGCCGGCACAGCTTCGGGTCTCCCGGAGCCCTCGGAACCCCCTCACTCTCTCATCCCCAGAACCGCCCACAGAACCCCCCCCCCGTCTCCCCCCAAAGCTCCAAAGGCTGTCGCCGTCGCGGTCCTGGAATTGCTTGGAGCCTTTTCCATTCTTTTTGCACCATGCCCGAATCCTTTCCCAGGTTCTCCCAAGGCTTCGAATATATTTTCAGTCTTCATAACCCTATCTAGTTCCCGTCCCTAATTATACCTACCCCAGACCTGAACCACCGCCACCACACCGCGGCCCACCCAATGTAGTCCCTCTCAATGGATTATTTGATAGGGAGTCTGATTCCTCAAAGAGGAGAGGGAAAGGTGCAGCCCCTCCCCCGTCTTGCATCCTGTAGTTCTTGCTTCAGACCCCTTCCCCACCCTCCTGTTGATAGCTTAAGCCTTGATGGCTTTCCAGGTACCTGTCTTTAGTCAGCACTCATCTCCTTCCAGAGAATAAGCCAGGCCAAGAACGTGGGGTTCTTTTTTCCCTAGGAGTTTGCAAAGATGCAGGATCCAGGGGACACTGGGAAATATTCTTTTGCTGGAGCAGGAAGGTGGGATTTCAAAAGTGTTTTTGGACTTCAGAGTCCTGGTTTTTGGTTACTCTGCCTAGGGCTCAGAAACTCTGAAATTTTGACTTATTGTTATAATTGGGCCTTTCTGACATGAGGGAACAGAAAGTCTGTCCAACTCCCAATGTGAGCTGTGTTGGAAGAGGAAACTCAGCTTTAGTGATGGTAACCTTACACACCTACTTTGAGAAGCTACTTTGAAACTCCCATAGTTTGACAGATGTATTCCCCAAAAGACCAAGGATTTAGGGGGTGGGAGTTGGTGTTGGTGGTGGGGGAATGAAAAATTCCCCCAGAAGCTTCATAGCAACACAACAGCCCAGAATATTGGTTTCTTGAATCCTAAGATGATCCTCTTGTTTGTGTCTGTGTGTATTCTTTTGTGGAAAGAAAACTTTGTAGAGCTAAAAGTCTCTGCAAGGGTGAAGTGGTGTTTGGATGCAGCTTGTAACAGGATTCAGAGGGGATCTAAAGGTGACTTTGAACTAAAGGTGCCAGGCATCTCGGAGTTCAAAGTCATTGGTACTTAGGGGAGTTCCCCTTCTTGGGTCTTAGAATTTATGATCCTTTTGCCATGGTCTTGTTTGATTTTGACCCAGTAGGACCTGAAGCAGATAAATCCAGGTGGGGATATACTGATAGCAAGTCAGTTTGATGAAAAGTTGGTGGTGAGACTAGGCTTCCATTAATGCACGGTCTCTATCTCCTGTGCTAGGTGAGCCCCAGGTGTGACCCACAGGGATCCAGGTGACTTCTCTGCAGACTATTTGCCATGACATCCCACCAAGGACAGGGGGAATAAAGTGGGACTCCTTCCCCATGCCCCTCCCATGGTCAGCTCCCCGATGGCCTGGGTGAGGTAAGAACTGTGTGTAGGTGTCAGTTTTCTGGAGTTTCTCAAATGGGGAGGTATGCAGGGAACAGGTCAGTGAATTCTTGACGGTTTTACAAAAGCAGCAGATGTTCTAGAAGGATAACTGATCTTTAGACTCAGTTTTTTGTAGCAAGGTATATATAATCTCTTAAACCTTCTGGTTGGGGCCTAGGAGTATAGCTCTGTGGCAGAGAGCTTGTATAGCTAGCATGATGGAATTCCACACTCAGAAACCAAAACAACAACAAAGCTTGTTGTTGAGATTGGTCCTGAAGTCTCTTGTTCCTAAGGTCATGCAAATCCTCTCCATCCTAAGGCACAGATATGTCTCTTGTGACGTATCCAATTACCAGTACCCTGGAGGGAAAAGCCAAGGAAAAGATAAAGGTCTCTTATCTCCTCTTTGGCCTTTGGAGAGGAAGCCCAGCATTTTGCTACTTGTTTTTGTTTTGGCATGCTGGGAATGAATCCAGAGCCTCATGCAAAGCACGCTGCCTACCACTGAGCCACATGCTCAGCTCCAGCATGTGTTTTGTAATGAAGAAGTACCCAACCAAAGCTATAAGAACTGTGCTAGTTAGACTCTTCAGTCTGCCTCTAATCCCAGCACTCCGAAGGCCAAGGATCTCTGTAAGTTCCAGGCCAGTCAGGGCTCCATAGTGAGACCCTGTCTCTAAGAGGAAAAAAATAATCACTGAATGTTCAATCTTTTAAATGTGTTTTTTTAAAGTATTATTTTGACAATTATTATTATTTTTTAAAGTATTATTTTAGTATGAGTGTATTGCCTGCATGTAAGTGCACCCATGTCATGCAGTACCTGAGAAGGACAGAAGAGGGCATGTAATCCCCTGGGACTGGAGTTTTAGATGATTGTTGGCTGCCATGTGGGTGCTGGGAATCAAACCTGGGTCCTCTGCAAGAGCAGTCAATGCTCAGCAGTCACTGCTGATCCATCTCTCCAGCCCCTTAAATGTGTTTTATGATCATGATGTAACACTTCACTTGAAGAGAACATCAAAAAGACAAATTTCAAATGCCAGGCGTGGTGAAACACACCTTTGATCCCCAGCACTCAGGAGGCAGAGGCAGGTGAATCTCTGTGAGATTGAGGCCAGCCTGGTCTACATAGTTCCAGGTAGGCTGGGGCTATGGCAGACCTCGTCCTGAAAAAAAGGTGGGTGGGGAAACAACAAGACTTTGGGGGGGAGGCTGAGGGAGGAAAAGAGAGAACACTGATGAAGTAGAATGTGTAAGATGAAAATTGAAAAAGAGAAAGGGACAAGTCTTGGGACTCCCGAGTGACACTGTTTGCTGGATCCAAATGAGGACCTTGTGCTGGAAACAACCCCTGAGGTAGCTGTTAATCTGTGCTGTTTCCAGCCCAGGTTTCCTTCCAGGTCACTCCACAGGTCAAAATCCTGCAGGCTTCCTTCCCAAGGTCCAGCTGGAGTGTCACCTCTGAGAAGCTGTCAACCCCTAATCAGCAGGCATCTGTAACCCATTCTAACTTGAATTACTGTTTATCCCTAGCGTGTTTGCCAAGGATTGAGAGAGAACGCCTTGAGCAGGTGTCTGTGTCATGTTGTCTCTGACAGAGGACATGCTCACAGTTCAGTGCTCTACCCAGAGCAGTGCTTCTCAGTGCTGCTGGTGACCACCTCATCCTTGGTGTTTTCCTCTAGGGCAGGTTGGCTGCTCTGACACCATGGGGACCTGCTGTAGCTGCCTGAACAGAGACAGCGTGCCAGACAACCACCCTACCAAGTTCAAGGTACCCAGAGCCTCCTTCCTCCCTGCTGGAGTTCTCAGTAGCCTCTGGGGCTTAGGCCTCCAGTATCTCTGGAAAGGAAAATGACAGGCTGTGGTTGGGGGCTTGTTAAGGCTCTTTTTGTTCTTGGCCTTTAAAAAAGGGATTTTTTAAAAACTTTTATTTTATTTATTTTTTATTTTATGTGTATGCATGTATTGCCTGCATGTAGGTAAGTGCACCTGTGTCATGCAATGCCTGCAGAGGTCAGAAGAGGCTGTCAGATCCTCTGGGACTGGAGTTATGGACAGTTGTTATCTGCCATGTGGGTGCTGGGATTCGAACCCAGGTCTTCTACAAGAACAACCAGTGTTCTTAACCGCTAAGCCATCTCTCCAGCCCCAAAAGGATTTATTTTTATTTATGTGTATATGTTTATATGTGCATGCACATGTGAGTACAGGTGCCTTAGGAGTCCTGAAGAGGGCATGGATCCCCTGGAACTGGAGTTCCAGCTGGTGTGAGCCACCATGTGGATGCTGGGAACTGAACTTGGATTTCTGAGCAAGAGCAACAAGACTCTTAACTGCTGAGCCATCTCTCCAGTGCATCCCCTTTTATAAAGGGTCTTTAAAATTTTTATTTTTTATGTATGTTGTATTTGCCTGCATGTATTAAGTCCACTCATGTCATGTGAAAGTCAGAGGAGGGCATCAGATTCCCTGGACCTGGAGTTACAGAGTTGTCAGGCACCAATTCAGGAATGAAATTCGGGTCTTCTGCAAGAGCAGCCAGTGCTCTTAACCTCTGTGCCATCTCTGCAGCCCCAGAATCTTTTTTTAAGTGTACCATATGCATGTAGTGCCTGCAGCGGCCAGAAGAGGGCATCTGAACCCCTGGAACTGAGGTATGGACAGTTGTTAGCTACCATGTGGGTGCTGGGTACTGAACCCAGGTCCTCTGTAAGAGCAGCCAGTGCTCTTAACCACTGAGCCCTCCCTCTAGCCTGCCCCCTGCTTTTTTTGCCTCTCTTGATATTATTAAGAATGACACAATATGATGGGGCAGCAAAAGTCGTGCTTTGAGGTGGAGCCCTCCCATCAGTGTGTTTCTGTAACTATATACATCGTTTTTGAAGAAAATTGCAGTGATTGAATTAATAGTTGTGAGGTTTTTAAAAGAATGTGTGGCACATTAGAGGTACTGTGTTGTTCTGAGGACTATGCCCCTCACCCCATCTCCACCCTGTAGAGGGAACCTTCTCACACTGGCCTATGTTGAGGCCTGTGTTTCTCCTGCCCACCAGGAGAGGGAGCCCTCAGCAAAGTGCACATTTGGGAAGGGGAAGGTTGTGTTTGTCCTGCCTTGGGCCTGACATCCTAAGTCTTCAGATTTTGAATTTAGAGTTAGACCTCTCTTCGTTGATATCTTGCCCTTGGATATTAAGCCAATGACTTCTGAAATCATTGAACTATCATCTAACTGCCTGGTCTTGGGGGTCCATAAACACCTCTTCCCTGTCTGTCCTAATAACAGGGCTGTGACCCAAAGACTGTCATGGCCTATGGCACTGCTCTGTGTGTCCCAGGGGATTTTGTGACATTCAGTAGTGTCTGTGGCACATTGACTCTGGATCTCCTGGCTCTAGCCCAGCATGACACCCCAAGTGGCTCAGGGACCCCTGCAGACCCTCCCTGGATTCTCTGTTGACCCCGGTCCCCTCCCCTACAGGTAACAAATGTGGATGACGAAGGGGTGGAGCTGGGCTCAGGGGTGATGGAGCTGACACAGAGTGAGCTGGTGCTGCACCTGCAGCGGCGGGAATCCGTCCGCTGGCCCTACCTCTGCCTGCGGCGCTATGGCTTTGACTCCAATCTCTTCTCTTTTGAGAGTGGCCGCCGCTGTCAGACAGGCCAGGGTGAGTACCAGCCCTGCCCTCCAGGACAGGGACCTGTACACCCAGGCAGGTCCTAGAGGAGTTTGCTATGGAATTGGAGAATGGGCCTTATCATCCTACATGGCCCTCAGACTTGGCAGTGTTGCTCAGAGAGAAAGGTCTTGGCCAAGGGCACACGGCCTAATATTACAGAATTACGTGGACTCCACCCCAGTGCCCTTTCTCTATTCAGTCATTGCCGCTCTTCCTGTGTCCCTTTATGGGGACACTTGTTACACAGTCCATGGAAAAAGCCAGCACTCCTAGGCCAGAGCCTACCTAGCAAAAATAAACAACTCGTCCCTCCGTTACCATGGTTTCAGGATCCCTGTTGCCCCTGCAGTAGAGAAACACTTTTTCTGAGCTGCTAGATCGTACACCCCAGACCCTTGCATAGCGGAAAAAGGTCAGGCAGGAGACTGGTTAGTGCCGGCTGAGTGGCTTGGGAATGAGATTTAGGCAGGCAGGAAGCTTAGGACTTTTCATGTACAGATTAACCTTCAAGAGCCTGATTTGTCCCCCATCACCTGTGGACAGTGGAGTGTGCCATATTCTCTTTCTCTCTCTCTCTCTCTCTCTCTCTCTGCTTTCGTTGGGTGCCGCATTCCAGTGGATGCCTATTAGGTCATTTTGGCCTCCCTTTTTCCTTCTTTTTTCTTTTCTTTTTTTTTTTTATTTGGCAGGGGGAGGTGGCCGAGGCTGGCTTCAAACTCAGCATGTAGCCCTGGCTGGTCTCAAACTCAACGGTGATCCTTCTGCCTCAGCCTCCCAAGTACTGGGATTACAGAAGTGTATCACCACTTCTGGCTTTCCTGTCTTTTCTAGCCATGGAAAAGACACCCCACCAGGATAGCCCCCTCTCTTCCTCTCTATCCTTCCTGTCCCATTCCTGAAAACCCAATTGTCCTGTCTCTAATTGTATTCATGGTAATATAATAATGTAACTTAGTAATATAATATTAATTGCCCATATCCCAGTTTAATTATATTTGTCATCATGCACATGTGTCTGTGTGTGGTGCTGGGGATTGAACCCAGGGACTTGTGCATGCTAGGTAAACATTCTAACACTGAGCTACACCCCAACCCTTGCTTTTTTGTTTCTTTGGTTGGTTGGTTGGTTGGTTGGTTGGTTGGTTGGTTGGTTGGTTGGTTGGTTGGTTGATTTTTGAGGTAGTGTTCAAGCTGGCCTTGAATTTGGGACTTACTTGTGGGTGTGTGGTACCACACTTGGATAAATTCATCTTTGTTGTGAATGTATACACACTGATGCTCCACATAGCTTCTTTGGAATCCCAAGTCCCAGTGTTGCAGAATCCCAGGCTGGCATCTCCAGATCCCTTAGGTCCCAAGTGCTCAGCCCGGTCCTGCCATTTTCAGGGTAGTATTGGACTTACAAGGCCTGAGAGGTTGACTGCACCCAGGAGCCGCCAGACTGCCTTACCATTTCTCCCTCAACTCTGCCCATCTTTTCTTTGTGCACCAGAGTTCAAGTTCTGAGAGGTCAGGGACCTATACAATGGGGTGTTCACTTTCTGGCCAGGATCTGGGCTAAATATTCAGAACAAGCTGTGAACAGGTCAGACTCACCTGTCTCCAGAGTACTATTGGGTAGAGTTGGCTGGACGTTGGATGAAACTTTTTTTTTTTTTTCTGGGGAGCAGGAGGTGGTAGGTAGAGGAAGATAGGGAGCAGCTTGTGAGGAATAATAGTCACTTAATACTACCCACAGTTTCCCCTTACCCCTGAAGTCCCCCCATCTTATGCAAATGTTGTGCCTTAGGGAATATGGCTGAAGTACTGGGTCTCTGGACGATGGTAGTGGATAGTGTAGGACAGGTTCCTGGGAAGAATGCTGAGGGAAGGAGAGGCACTCCTGCCCTTTACTGGCATGGGACTGGAGTTCAGGGGCATTCCTGCACTTTGTGTTTCTGTTGAGCTCATTGGTTCTTCCCTATCCAGCCAGGGGTCAGAGGAGCCTCATTTCTTCCTCTCCTTCTCTAGGAATCTTTGCATTCAAGTGCTCCCGGGCCGAGGAGATCTTCAACCTGCTTCAGGACTTGATGCAGTGCAACAGCATCAATGTGATGGAAGAGCCGGTCATCATCACCCGCAACAGCCACCCACCAGAGCTTGACCTCCCTCGGGGCCCTCCACAGTCCACTGGTGAGGAGACCTCCACCCCAGGTGCACCAACGTGTACACATGAGCATGGGCCCAGGGAGCATGAGTCTGGGAAACCTAAATCAAGCTGACTGGCAGGGGACAGCCAGGGTGAGCCAGCCTTCCCTGACATTTGCCCATCATCAGCACCACTCCTGAGAGTGGCTCAGCCCTGGACTGGGCCAATCTGGTGACTCAAGCTGGAGCTGCAGAGTCCTGGGCCTTGTATCAACTAATGCTTGGGGAGCAGACAGGAAGACGCTGGGTTGCCATGGAAACGGCAGTCTGGAGTTTTTTGCTTCCTTCTTTCTGTCTCCTGGGCCACATGCATACACCTCTCCTGGCTGCTGGTACAGGCATCTCTGGCCATGGCTGTTGTGGAGGTCCCCCCAGTTTCTGCTGGTTGGGTCACTGGCCAGACCACACTGCTGCTCACTGCTCTCCACTGCCTGGATGGCCTGTGAGGAACAGAATGGCTAGCAACAGCCCTGGGCTTGTGGAGCTTCCCTGGTAGTCACTGGCAGAGCTAGGCTGGGCCCTGGGATGGTCCAGGGGTGACAGGTGTCTCCAGTGTTTGAGGTAAGGCTGTGATGGAGCGAGGAGGCTGGCTTCAGGCTGGCTTGGAGAGGCAAGGCAGGGTTTGAGTTACGAGGTGAAGGGGAGTGGAGGGCTGCCAGTTCAGTATGGCTAGCTGAAGTGGGGCCCGGAGAGAGTCTCCCCAGCCATTGGAGGACTCCCGGGGCACCACACACCTGTGCATGTGATTGCAAGTGATTTTCGGGTGGTTCCAGTACCCCTCACCTGGGCTGCCTCTCCTGGACCCAGCTTTAGGCTACGCCGTCTCCAGCTTATCCAATGGCTTCCCTGGCTGCCCTGGAGAAGGCCTCCGATTCTCTGCCCCTCGGCGATCCTCAACAAGCAGCTTGAGACACCCCTCCCTTGGGGAAGAGTCCACCCACGCCCTCATAGCCCCTGATGAGCAGGTGCGTATGTGCCTGGCCACTCTAGGTGGGGACAGAAGACAGAAAGATTGTGGGAAGGGGAGAAAACTCAGTAGGGTTCTTTCCTACTCCCAGAGAGGAGATAGCATGGCTGGCAGGTTCACAGAAGGCAGGAGAAACCCCAGCTTTTCCCCTGGTCTGGTCTCTCTGCCCTCTCTTCCTCCAATCCTTGAACTCACTTATTTCACTTGGCATCTTCCCCTCTGCAGTCCCACACCTATGTCAACACACCAACGGGTGAGGAGGACCACCGCAGGAGTCGCCACTGCCTGCAGCCACTGCCTGAGGGCCGGGCACCCTTCCCACCACAGCCACGGGGTCCGGACCAGCGGGACCCTCAGGTGTTCTTGCAGCCAGGCCAGGTGAAGTTTGTGTTGGGTCCCACTCCTGCTCGGCGACAGGTGATGAAGTGCCAGAGCCTCTGCCCCAGCCTGCAGGACCCTCCCCACAACAATAACAACGAGGGCCCTTCTGAGTGCCCAGCCCAGCCAAAATGCACCTATGAGAATGTCAGCAGCTGCGAGAATGTCAGTGGGCTGCGGCGAGGGGCTGGCTGGAGACTGAGCCCAGAGGAGCCAGGCTGGGGTGGTCTGGCCCACCGTCGGGCTGCCCTGCTGCACTATGAGAACCTGCCCCCTCTGCCCCCTGTTTGGGAGAGCCAAGCTCAGCAGCTGGCTGGGGAGGCTGGAGATGATGGGGACTCCAGGGATGGGCTCACACCCTCCTCCAATGGCTTCCCTGATGGTGAGGAGGACGAGACCCCCTTACAGAAACCCACCAGCACCCGTGCCACCAGCCGTAGCCACAGCAGCTTCCCTGTCCCACTGACCCGCCGCCGAGGCTCCCCGAGAGTCTTCAACTTTGATTTCCGCCGGTCGGGCCCTGAGCCTCCAAGGCAGCTCAACTACATCCAGGTGGAGCTCAAGGGCTGGGGCACCGACCGACCCAAGGGGCCCCAGAACCCCGCAGTGTCCGGAGCCCCTGGGTCCACCTCTCACCCTGCCCGCAGCTCAGACTCCTATGCCGTGATTGACCTCAAGAAGACCGTGGCCATGTCCAACCTGCAGAGGGCCCTGCCCCGAGACGATGGCACCATCAGGAAGACACGGCACAACAGCACCGACCTGCCTCTGTAGACCTGGTCCTCCACCGCCACTGCCTGCCACACCTGCCAGCCCATGATGCAGGGCTGCTTTGCAGAAGGCACTGAGGTGGACCAGATGCTTCCCTGCACTTCTGGAGTCCCCAAAGATGTCAGCCACTGAGTGTCCAGGTCCCCAAGCCAGGGAGAGGAGAGGGCAAGCGGGTGAGGAGGGAGCCAGGGCGTAAACTGAAAGGTTCCCACAGCTGCATTTCGCACCCTCCCCTTCCATCCATCTGTCCTGTCTGTCTGTCATCTGTCCCTGTGGTTTGTTTCTTTTTGTTTGGTTGGTTGTTTTTTGTTTTGTTTTTGGGTTTTTTGGTTGAAATTTGGAAATATTTTGTACTTGTTGGTTTTATTTATCAGTTTATTTTTCTATTTATTGTTTTAAATGTAATTTAACATATTTATTATTAATATAATTATTTTTAAATTCTGGTCCAGTGGGTGGTATCTTCTTGTGCAATCTTTCCTGGCAGGGGTCTGGAGTAGGCAGAGAGCAGGCTGTGGGAAATCAGGGTAGTTGTGGGTCTTGTGGTAAGTCTGATTGCTGCTTTTTCTCTTTAAGAAGCTGTGGCCCATAACGTAAAGTCTCTAGGGATGGATGATCTGTTGAAAAGGCACAGGACTGCTGTAGTTCCGATGCAGAAGGGGACGGGAAGGATAAGTGCCCTAGGAATGGACAGGGGATGGGGGACGTTTTACAGGATTCCTCTCTGAAGCCCCCCAGGCAAGTCCCAGAGGCCACTGCTCTCTCTTACTGTGATAAGCAGCCAGTTCTCCTCAGCCACCCTAGCACAGCTGAGTCCAGGCCAGAATCTAAACAGGATTTTGCTAGAATCCCAGAAATAGCAAAAAGAAATCCATACAGTATATAACCAGGTTTCTGGCTTGCAACGTCAGACTTTCTCAGCGAACCACCCAGGGGCCTCTTTTTCTCTGCAGGGCCCAGGAAGCATCCTGCAGAGCTCCTGTTGAGCCCCAGCTCTGCATTCAGGCCCACCCAGTGCCCTCTTGTGGCAGGCACCCCATTCTTCTCTCCATACACTTTCTGCCTCCTGTCATCTGAGATGCTGTTTCTAGCGAAGCCTCTGTGCAGGTGATCTGAAGGACCCTGTGAAAAGCCACTGAGGCCCAAGTAGGAATGAGAGCCACTTTGCCCAAGACTTAGGAACAGGCCATTTGTTTGCCCCTTTCTGTGTCCTAGCTCCAGGCCCTGTGCATTAAGCACACTGGTTCTCTTCCTCATGGAGACCGCGGGCCAGGGTGGGGCTCTCCATGTCTCTCCAGCACTGCCTGGCCACATTTCCTGGAGCGTCTCCATGTGAGGATTAGACTGAGCACATCCTGAACCTCAGGTGGTACCAACACTTCTGAAAGGGGCAAAGAGAATTGGCCACAGCAGGACTGAAAGCAGCCCCCCTTAGTGGGACCCAGCAGGATCTAAGGGACAGCTGCCTCACCCAGGAGCTGGCAGCAGACTCTTCCCTTTCTGTTTGTCCTTTTGATCTCTGAACTAGAGGGATCACCTGCTGCAGGACAGATTCACTGTGCCTTTTCCTCACCGTGGCAGAGCCGTGCTGGCTTCTGCAGCTTCCCTAGGCAGTGCCCCCTGCTTCTCCCATGTCCTGAAACACTACTGCCCATGTTCCTATGTTCACCACAAGGCTTGTGTCCATGCCCAGGATGGTCAAGCAGTGGGGGCAGGAATGGTCAGGATTGGAGCCCTGACCACACTTGAAAGTCATAGGTCTATGCAGAATGACTAGCTGGTTGGTCTCTGTTTCACTCTCTCTCTCCTGTGGTGTGCTGGGGATGAAACCCAGGGCCTCATGGCATGCTAAGCAAGCTCTTTCCTGAGCTACGCCCCCCAATCCTGTGGGCTTCTCTGTATTGATACACAGACACTTGCCATGGGTTGGCCAGGGATTGGCTTCCGTCAGGAGACCAGGTTCTGTTTCTGACCTGGCCACCATCTCTGCAGTATTATTTGTTTGCCCCCAAGTGAGCCTTATTCTTTGCACCTGGAAGACATTGGGCCAGTGTGGGAGGTAGCCAGCCGGATGATGGAATGGGACACCAATGAAAGTGGATAGATTTGGGGTGTGGTGGTGCACATCTTTAGTCCCAGCACTTGAGAGGCAGAGGCAGGTGGAACTCTGTGAATTCAAGGCTAGCCTAGTCTATATAGCAAGTTCCAGGCCAGCCAGGGCTATACAGTGAGACCTTGTCTCAAAAGGACCCAACAATTCCCGAGGAAAACACAGCAACCAGTAGTACCCACTCGAGGCCCCCTGATGTCAGGCTTGCTGCATTCTTTTCCAGACACTTATTCTCATGCTTTTGGTGGCAAAGGCTGCTTTAATACCTAGGGTTTCCTACATAAGTAGCCATTTCAGGGAATCTGAGACATAGGCCCCAGGAATTGGCTCCCAGCCCAGAGGAGCCCCCAGTCTTCCCCAGCCCCTTTGCCTCTGACCCTCTGGGTCTACTGCAGTAATTTTCCTCTCACAGGGAAAGGGTGGGGTGTGAGTTGACAGTTTTCCTGGCAGGAAGGGGCCGATGGGCACAGTGCCCAGGAAGCAAACTGCTGCCCCTGTGTTGGGGCCTGCCGAAGCCAGGGCTGGTGCTCAGATGGTCAGCCATGTTCAAAGATCACCAGCCAGCATCAGCCACTAAGCATTCCCTTCTCTTCTTTAGCAGGTGCTGGTGGCCCCCTGGGCTGCCCTCAGGAAAGGACAGGATCCAGCATCCTGTCTGGAAGTAACATTTCAGGTCAGACCAGGAGAAGCCCTCCCCAAACCCACCCCTGTGTAATAACATCACTTCACCTGGGTGTACACAAAGGCGGCTTTCCACAAAGGCAGAGACCATTTATCTCTGTCAGGCCTCACTGGGCAGGTTTGTTATCACCCTGTCCAGAAGAGGAAACAGGCCAGGAGGTGAAGAGATTTGCCTCGGGCTATGAGTTAATTAGTGGCTTTCACTGGGGCTGATGCATGTCCTGTGTCACCACCACCACCACTGCTCCTCCCCTGCTCCAGGCCTGGCCTGAAGGGGCTGGCCTCCTTCAGGTGGGCAGTGGCAGTGGCAGAGATGGGGGGGCTGCCTTCCCTGCCCCAGTGGAAAGAGCCACAGTCCAGTGCTCCCACTTGTGAGTCCTTTTGAATTCCAGGCCAGGGCTTTGCCTGCTTAACTGCAGGGTGACCCTTCTCCCAAGCCTGTGCAACACTCACAAGTGCACCCTGCTCCCCTGCTCCTGGCTCCTGTACATCCTCAGAAACAGCTCCAATCTGTCTATGGGAAGGGCCAGGTATGGGGGAGGCTTGACTTCACCTGCCCTGCTTTCTCCTTGTGGGAGGACCTCCCAGGTCAGGTTAGGTTAAAGAATCTTGAGTGCTGGGTGTTCTGACAAGTGCCTTAAAACAGAATCTTCCTGGGGTGAAAAGGTCATAATAGAGGCCTCTGGACCTCCAGAAAAGTCATGGGTGAACAGGGTCATGCAATATTACAACACAGGTATATTATTGGCTATGACAAAATGCCTAACAGGCAACCTAAGGAAGGGTTTATTTTGACTCACAGTTGGAGGTACAGTCCATCATGAAAAGACAACTGCAGGAGCCTGAGGAGGCTGGTCACATTGCAACTGCAGTCAGGAAGCAGAGAGTTGAAGGCTGGCGTTCAACATGCAGCCTTCTCTTTATTCAATCCGGCCTCCCAGCCCATGGAGTAAGGCCGTCCCCATTTATGGTATGTCTTCCTACCTCAAACCAATATAGAAACTCCCTCATAGACGTGCCCAGAGGTTTGCCTCCAAGATGATTCTAGATCCTGTCAAGTTGACAAGATCAATCATCACACCAGGACAGTCCCAGCTCTTTTGGGCCCTCCATGGGTCTCTTCACCCATTCCTGAAAATGTTTATCTAGTCTTCTCCTACTCTCCCGGGGACAGGGTCACCTTCTCAGAAAACTTCTTCCTCCCCAGCCACTTCCTCCACCAGGTACTAGTTCTGCACATAGCCCCGCACATGACCAAGGCTGGCTGACCAAGGGTGCTGAGCCTAGACACTTGGTGGCACCACTTGGCCTTAGTTTCTTCATCTGTCACAGTGGGGATAACAGTCCCTCCCTCGGAGTTACTGCAAGAGTCAAATAAGAGAATGTCCGCCCCACATGAGCCATGGCACCGGCTGCAGTTAGTGCTCAGCACTCATCTGCACATGACTCTTCCCAGCATTCCCAGAGCTCACCCCTCTCTAAGCTCTTGTTTGACCCAGGGCCAAAGGTTATCCCCATGCCTGACCTGCACTTACCTTCAACTCGGCATCTCCCTGTTTTAGACACTGTACTTCTGTTAATGCGCTCTGAGTTAGCATTCAATTCATTGACATGTCTTAATATCTCAAACTTGACCTGAAATCACCAGGTCTTTTCTAATATGAACAACTGCTGCATCCTTTGTCCTCACGGTAGTCCTTCGCAAATCAGACTCCAAATGGTCTGGTTATCAACGTGCTATTGTCTCTTGGTCCTCTGGGTCTGTCCTGGGACTGAGTGGCACCAGTTGTTGCTGTGGACATGGAGTGATGGAGGACTAGGGACAGGGGCTAGGATGTCAGGGAGAAGGGTTGGAAAGAGGGTCCTCATTGGGGCTGAGTCATGAAGGTTTGGCTACAGTATGTATGCATGACCTCAGTCTAGAAGCTCCACTCTGTGCTGGAGGTGGGCAGGAAGCCACACTGGTCACCATGGTGTTCTAGCCTCTTGTCTTGCTACCCAGGTAAACTTCTCTCTGGGTAGCCCTGGGCCTTGCTTCTTCAGGATGGACACCATTGGCAGAGTTACCCATGGAGAGGAGCTGGGAGATGAGGGGATCGAGGGCATCACTCCTATGCCAGGCATGGGGTGTCATTACACTGTCCCTAAGGGATTATTTCTATGACCGCTGTTATTGAGTGGTGCAGGGTGTGATGCTTGGCCCATGGAACATGTAACCTGGCTGGCTGTCTCTTCAGCTGTCTCAGCTCTGCCCTATTAGCAGGGAGCTCTGGCCTCTGGGAGACCCTCCCTGTTGCCTCCTTCCTCCTGCCTCCCCTCAGCTTGTTCCAGTGAGGCAGGGATAGATGGAGACTGGGAACTTGACTCCCTGGGAGAAGGAATGTAAGAGATGAAATCGCTTGTCTCCTCTGGACTGTGTGGACCAGGCTGGGGCAGCCAGCTGGGCGGTGCTGGACGGAGATGGGAGCGGCAGTGGCTATGCCGGAGGGCATCAGGTTGAAGAATGGGGGCGGGAAAGAGGTACCAAGTGTTCCTGGAGGTTCCTTGTCTCTCTTTGCCTAGGAACAT